AACAATATATACCTGGGTTTTGTATTTTAACACAGCCTGGTAATCTTGGTATTTTAATGAGAGAATTTAACCCATTCACACTTAGTATAACAACAGATATATTTGAAATTTTTCCTTCTACTTTGCTATTTCACTTTGTTTCACCCTTTTCCTTTTTGCTGTTTTGGTGAAGTTTTATTTTTTATTGTTTTATTTGGAATTTTTACTCTGCTTTTCCATTCACTAGTGCTTACCTTCCCACTTCTGATATTTCTAGTAAATAATGTGTATGTGTGTATTTCTCAAATAGCTATAACTTTATTCTTCCACTGTGATCCTCTCTCTCTCTCTCTCTCTAACTGTTTACACATTCCATGTCCCCCATTCAGTTAAGATTTCTAGAGCATTTTATTTTTCTCCTCTCACCTCCCCTGTAAATCCTAGCTATTGCTCATACCATATGTTTAGTTCTTGACCATTGTTAGCTTTTCCTTCATAGCATGTCTCTTCTACTTCTAGAATACTTGCTTAGTACTTAAATGCAAGTTTCATATTGTCATATTGATTTATATATGATTATATATTTAATGATTCATTGTTCACATCTGTATTCTTCCCTCTTGATCTTTCCCTGGCTTGAGGACTTCTAATTGTTAGTATGGTTATTTAGTTAGAGTGTTTTGTTGAGTATTTTCCTCGGTGGGGCATGTGGATGCTATCTTCTGTGAATGCAGGCTCCTCGAATACAGGGACTTTGTATTGTTTACTTCTGTGTTCCTAGCACCTAAAACTGTGCCTGGTACATAACAAGCAATCGATATATGTTAGCTGTGTTGTGGTATTAAATACTACATATTTGCATGTCTGTCTTTCACCCTGAGCATTTATGTTGTTGGTGATGGTTGATCTCTTACACATCTGCAAGTATTTTTCTATCACCCTGAGAACTTAATGTCCTGGCCGCTGTAGAAATCTTGATTCGAAGTCCTTTTTCCTCTTTAATTTGTAGATTTTATTCTACCATCTCCTACCTCCCACTACTATAGACGAGAAGTCTGATGCTAGGCTGATTTCTTTTCCTTTTGTAACTCGTTCTTTCTCCGTGGCCTCTTCTAATCTTTTTACCAGGTAGTAGGGATTTTGCCCCATCAATTGTGCGTAGAAGTCATGTTTCAAGCTTCAAATTGAAGTCTTTTTTTTTTAACCATAGAAAATGTTCTCTCTTATTTTTGTAATTATTGCCTCTTCATCTGTTCCTTTTTCCTGATTTTGGAATGCTTATTATTGGCATATTAAGTCTGTTGGCTTTGAATGCTAGTCTCTTATTTATTCTTCCTGATTTTCATCATTTTGATTTTACTCTGTGTGAGAGATTTTTCATCTGTTTGCTCTTTCAGGTCAATAATGTATTTTCTCCACCATTCTTTCTTTTAGTTACCTTTAACCCATTGATTTTTTTTTTTTTTTTTTTTTTTTTGAGATAGAGTCTCACTGTGTTGCCCAGGCTGGAGTGTACTGGCTCAATCTCAGCTCACTGCAACCTTTACCTCCCAGGTTCAAGTGATTCTCCTGCCTCAGCCTCACCCTCCTGAGTAGCTGGGATTACAGGTGTGTGCCACCATGCCTGGCCATTTTTTAATATTTTCAGTAGAGATGGGGTTTCACCATGTTGGCCAGGCTGGTCTTGAACTCCTGACCTCAAGTGATCTACCCACCTCAGCCCCCTGAAGTGTTGGGATTACAGGCATGAGCCACTGCGCCTGGCCAACCCACTGATATTTTAAGTTTGTGTAGTATATTCTTAATGCCAAGAATTAATAAGTTTTTGTTGTTTCTTGTATGTTCTTCTTCTTTAAAAATAAACTAGTTCTCTGTTTCCTCCAGTAGTCCTGTCTTATTAGCAACCATCTGCTTTAGTAGATCTGATTGGTCTGTCTCTCTCTAGTTGCCGGATCCTCTTAGGTACTAGCTTATTTCCATTTTCTATTTTCTGCTTAAGCTAGGTTAAGCCTTCCCATAGTTGGAGGCACAACAGTTTCTACACCGCATCAAGTGTGAAAAGAAGTCTCTGTGTTTCTAGGTACCCCTAAATGCAAGCGATCTGTTCTTTTCGTTTCAGGGATGTGAAAGACATCTTCCTATACTTTTTCTAGTAGGATCCAACATTTCAGCTTCCCCTGCCTCCAAACCAAGACCACACACACGCTCTGAGGCAGAGCCACCCCATTAATCAAGTGTCCACAGTCCCCTCAGGCCTAGTTCTTCCATGTTTTCACCCCAGGGCTCCCTGCCGCTGCTCCTCTAGCCCCCTTCAGACCTGGACCAACAGAGTCCTTCAACAGTCCTCAGGTTCCTCCAGCTTACTCACCCTAGACAGCTGAAGGCTGGGGGAAGGAAGAGTAACAGAGATCAGAGATGCAGAATCCTTCCCCCTTTCTTTGTGGTTTGTTTGTTTGTTTGTTTGTTTGTTTGTTTGTTTTAGACAGGGTCTCACTGTGTCACCCAGGCTGGAATACAGCGGTGTGATCTCAGCTCCACTGCAGCCTCGACCTACCTGGCCTCAGGCGATCCTCCCACTTCAGCCTCCTGAGCAGCTGGGACTACAGGTGTGCACCATCACACCTGGCTAATTTTTTTGTACTTTTTGTAGAGAAGGAGTTTCACCATGTTTCCCAATCTGATCTTGAACTCCTGGGCTCAAGCAATCCACCCACCTCGGCTTCCCAAAGTGTTAGGATTACTGGTGTGAGCCATCGTGCCCAGCCTTCTTTACATTTTGACGAACAATAGCCTATATTTTTGCAACTGGTTTACACTAAGCCCAGTGTGAATAAGGTTATATGAATTAATACATAAGAAAATATTGGCGCCGTGTGCAGTGACTTATGCCTGTAATCCCAACACTTTGGGAGGCCGAGGCAGCTGGATCACCTGAGGTCGGGAGTTTGAGACCAGTGTGACCGATGTGGTGAAACCCCATCTCTACTTAAAATACAAAATTAGCCAGGCGTGGTGGCAGGTGCCTGTAATCCTAGCTACTCGGGAGGCTGAGGCAGGAGAATCAAGAATTACTTTAACCTGGGAGGCGGAGGTTGCAGTGAGCCAAGATCACGCCATTGTACTCCAACCTGGGCAACAAGAGTGAAACTCTGTCTCAAAAAAAAAAAAAAAAAGAAAGAAAGAAAATATTGGAATCTTATAATTAGAAATAACTTGGTCATAATAAAATAAGTCTCTTAATTTCTATGTTGCTTTACCATTTTAATGCAATTTTATACACATGTTCTCATTTGAGTTCCAAGATAGCCCTGTGTGGTAAGTATGGAAGTTATCATCCACACTTGACAGATAAGAAAACTACAGCTCATAAAGATTACATCACTTGCCCAAGGACACATGGGTAATGAATGGACCTGGACCAGAGAATTCACCTTCTTATCACACTATGCCACTGCTTGTTTATTTGTTTGTTTGCAATTGCCTTCAGAACATGTTACATTGTGTAAATGATTTCTAGAATCCCTAAATTATATGCTATAACCTGTATTATATTTTTTCAATTATTTCTATTATGCTGATATGAGCAATTTAAAATGTGTATACATAATAGGATATTGAGTATAAAGTAATAAGATTTTTAAATGTAGTTGGAAATCTAATGAAACAGGAATTTGAAAATCATTTGAAAAAGATTACTATTACTAGAATATGTGTATTATTTCCTGAAGGTAGCCATTTTGTTTCTCTCTCCTTTTTTTTTTTTTCTTGTTTTTGTTTTTTAAACATAGTCTTTCTCTGTTGCCCAGGCTGGAGTGCAGTGGTATAATCTTGGTTCATTGCAACCTCTGCCTCCTGGGTTCAAGCGATTCTTCTGCCTCAACCACCTGAGTAGCTGGGATTATAGGCTCACACCACCATGCCTGGCTAATTTTTGTATTTTTAGTAGAGATGGGGTTTTGTCACATTGGCCAGGCTAGTTTCAAACTCCTGACCTCAAGTGATCTGCCCGCCTCAGCCTCCCAAAGTGCTGGGATTAAAAGTATGAGCTACCATGCCTGGCGAAAGTAACCTTTTTGAAGGAGGACATGCATTTTTATATATGAGTAGTTAAATTTGTCTCTTTGTAATATATTTTTAAAACATTTGAATTTGTCTATTATGCAGTAGAAGCCATGCAGTAGGGAAATGGCCCTCTCCTTATCAAACATGACATCGAGAAAATGTAACCATGTTACATATGTTTGTTTTGTCTTAGAGTTTTATAGTATAAGACTAAATGAATTAGTAGCTATTTTAAAGACCAGACCTTTGTTCTGATCTCTGCTGCTTTTCATGCTAACGCTATATTTAAAAGTATTATCTCATACTCAAGAGTGATATTAAAAATACTTAAAAACTGATATGGCCCGGTCAGTGATCACTGAGAGTGTACACGGGCTCTGCACACCTGCTGTAGTCGCTGGCTGGCAGTACATCTGACCTGCTCAGCCACATCACACCGCACCCTTCCCTTGCCTGAGTGCTTTCATCTCCATTCTCCCAGGTGATCTGGGGAGGGATGTAGTGCCATCCCCATTTTGCAAATTGGGGGAATCACAGCCCCAAGGAGCTGACCATAGGGCCCCTTAGAATAAAAGATTTCTGGCTCTCAGTTTGATGTTCTTCCTTGGGTAGAAGTTTCCCTCTTTTCAGAGGAGAAGGAAGAGGTGAGAATAGCCATATTTGATAGGACAAATACCAGCTCCTTTCAGAGGAAACTCATAGTAGGTGGTGGGTAGAATTAGCACCACCCCATCCTCCCTGGAATCTTCCATTCCCGAGCAGATTTGTCACTTTCAGGGCCTTTGCAGGAGATGCTTGTCCTGGAAGAGTAAAACTGGCTCAAGCAAGAGAGGAGATTTTTCCTGGTGGAAGAATCTGACTCAGCCTCTTTTCTCCATATTAACAGGGATGTTATGTACACAGCCTTACTTAGTATATTCGTTTAATTTCTTGTTTTTTCCCTTCTCCTCCTCCCACAGAATGGTCTCCCCTCAGAGAGCAACCCATATGTTTTTAATGGTGACTTTGTAGATCGAGGAAAGAACTCCATAGAGATCCTAATAATCCTGTGTGTGAGTTTTCTTGTCTACCCCAATGACCTGCACTTGAACAGAGGGAACCACGAAGATTTTATGATGAATCTGAGGTAACCCAGGCCTTTAGATTTTCTCTTTTAAAAGTTTCGCACTCTGGAAAATGCTGTCATATTTAGTTCCTAACAGAGATACAAGTGAGTGTATTGGAAGAGGGTTGAGGGGAATCTCAAGGAGGACTTCAGTTCTTACCCCTTTCACCACCCCCATTCGTCTGCTGAGTATCAGTTGCCCTGAAACTCCCTTCCTATCTTTTCTTCCAGTTCTGTCCATTCTTTTCCCTTCTATTATGTTCTTTCTCTTGCTCCCATGCCCGACCTTCACAGGCTAAATTGTGTGTTGGATAGGTGTGTGAGGCCGGGTTTGGAGGTGTGGAAGGTTCTTCGAGCATACTTGGATGGAATCGTTCTGTTACTACTCTTGGCTTGCCTCAGATATTGTCTCAGAAACTAGTTCCATGTTTTTCACCAATGCGTGTATTGTTTTATGACATGGTAATTGCTTCTGGCATTGTTTCACATAAACATATTTACAAACACAACATTTCAACTATCTAACTCACCGGAAACTTGAGGAATAAAGATTGGTTAGATGGTTTAAGAATCTTCGCTGGAAGGCACAGTAGGTGACAAATGTTCCCTTTTCCCTTCTTTTTTCCTTCTTTTAAAAAAATCTCTTGTTTTATGAAAAACAGAAATCAGTTTGCTCTAGGACAGTGGAAGATATGGCATGTCTCATGCTTTTGGTCCTGGGCTTTTGGGTGCCTTGATAAAGCTCAGCAACTGATTAGTTTTGTCTTTGGGGCAGTTTGGCACCTGGCTTGAGTACAGACTTTCAATTCTAATTCTCAAGGTATGGAAGCAAATGCTAAAACTGTGAAGGAAAAAAATCCCAGGACTATTATCAGAGGCCCATTATATATAATATAGCTAAATACTTTAATTTAGGCATGCTGTTTATCCTTATTGCCTATCATATTTATCTAGTGTCTATAATGGTTAATGAAGGAGACATGGCCCCTGCCCTCATAGAGCTTACATCTAGCAGGGAAGATGCATGTTGAGCAGGTTTTTCAAGTGTGATGAGTTTGTAAAGGGAGAATCCAACCTTGTCTGAGGGATGATGGAAGGTTCCCCCATAGAAATATGGCATTAGCCTGACAGCTGAAGAATGAATTAGGCAATCAAGAAAGAGCCATAGAGGGGGATGGGAAACAGTGTTCCACAGTGAGGGGACAACTTATGCAGAGCTCAGGACAAGACTGTTTAGATGTGAAAGAAGTTCAGGAGGGCAGGAGCATAGACTGAGGGATAGGGTGGTGCCTGATAGGGCTGGAGACATAAGAAATGATTGGATGGTTCAAAGGAATTTGGAAGGACTTCCTAGAACAACAGAATGTCACCGAAGAATGTCATAAAATTTGTGTTTTAAAATGCAGTAGGGGGAGAGAGTTGGAGAGGGGCAAGAGTGGAAGGGGCAATTAGGAAGTAGTTGAAGGTTAAAGGGATAGATAATGGGTTCTCATTTAGACTAGGGTAGTGGTGATGGAGATGCAAAGAAATAGATTCAAGAGGAATTTAGGCAATGATGATTTAAGGCTCACTAACTGGATATGGGGGAGCTGAAAGAGGAGGGAATCGGCTGCGCATGGTAGCTCATGCCTGTAATCCCAGCACTTTGGGAGGCTGAGGTGGGCAGATCACAAGGTCAGGAAATCAAGACCATCCTGGCTAACGCAGTGAAACCCCGTCTCTACTACAAAGTACAAAAAAAATTAGCCAGGTGTGGTGGCGGGCGCCTGTAGTCCCAGCTTCTTGGGAGGCTGAGGCAGGAGAATGGTGTGAACCCGGGAGGCGGAGCTTGCAGTGAGCCGAGACCGTACCACTGCACTCCAGCCTGGGCTACAGAGTGAGACTCCATCTCAAAAAAAAAAAAGAGAGAGAAGAGGGAATCAAGGATGACCTCCAGGTTCCCAGCTTGAGTTTGGGGGTACAGTGCATCATTCAGTGATATTGGGAATGTGTGGAAAGAGGATAGAGGTTGGGATGAGGGGGAATGATGAATTCAGTTTGGGGTAAGCTGATTTGAGGTACTATTGAGTAGGCAGTTGAGTGTACATACGTGTCCAGAGATCAGAAATGAAGTGTGGCCTGGAACATCATCCTGTGGTATTGACACTAGATAATAACTGAAAGCCTGGGCAGGGATGAGATTCCCAAAGGAGAAAGTGAGGGGAGAAGAGAGCCTAGGATAGAATCTGAAGGAACCGCCACATTTAAGGTGAGGTAGAGGAGAGCTTGCAAAAGAGGCTCAGAAGAGCCAGGAGGAAAACCAAAGAGTTTATGGTCACAGAATCCAAGGGAAGAAAAGTTTTCTAGAAGGATGGTAGAGTCAACTGTATTTAGTGTTTCAGAGAGGGCAAGAGGTATCCATTAGATTAAATAGTGTGGACACCTTTGGTGAGTACAGGATGGAATTCATCTCAGAAAACATAACGTTACACTATAGAAGCCTGATGTAACATGATTTCCATGGAAAGCTAGAGTGAGTGTATTGCATTTCATCTTCACAGTGTTGGATATTAAGCGCACGTACTGTTATTCCAAAGCAAGGAAAAGTAACAGAAATATTGTCATCATTGAATCTCCCTTCACTACTACTATTCAGGCATTAAGATTCCTGACACTTTCTATTAAAACCCTCAATACCATTATGGGACCTATATCAGAGAAAGCATAACAAGCCAACTTGTTACCTTCTAGGCCTTTATCTTTGTTCAGTCTTTTCTTTTTTCCAATCATTTACTGTATAGGATGTCTGATTTTCCAATCATTTACTGTATAGGATGTCTGAGAAATTCTATCTAAATGAAAAGTCTTCTCCCATACAGCTTCCCCCAGCTACCACAGCATGCCTCTCTGCATACTTGTAGCGTTTACACAACCTGTGCCTACCACATATTTCTTAAGTTGTCTTATAATTGTTTCACAGAAATCTATCTTCTTTCCCCAGCTATACTATAAGCTCCTTGAGGGTAGGGATGATGTCATTGGTTGCTTTTATGCTTTCCAGTCATGTGTAGCAAAGACTCAGGTAAGTAACACTTCCAACTGAACTCTGGTTTCTTGAGTTCTTGGTGCTTGTGATACTGAGATGCCAAGGACTCCCCTTTTTGCATGACTCATGGAAGTAGGCGTTATCAACAATCAAATCATTTAAATCCCATTTTTTTTAGGTATGGCTTCACGAAAGAAATTTTGCATAAATATAAGGTAAGACATCCTTTTTTTTTCTTTTTCTTTTTCTTTTTTTTTTTTTAGTATTCATTTTGCTGTTTCTATAGAGAAATTTAAAAAGAGCCAAGAAAGACCAGATTGATGCTTTAGGAAAGGTGATAGGCCAGCTAGTCAGAATGCATGCCAATAAAATACAAGCACAACAGGAAGCCCTGGCCACGGTAGAGTCTTACATTTTCTTTCTGGATTAAGCCACACTTTTTCATTGTGAGTTTTGTGTAAGTTTTAGCATAGATACATATTTCATTGCTTTAAAGGTACCAAGGATTTGTTTTACTTAGGTATGGTAAAACATGCAGACATAGAAATGACTGTCATGAAGGAAGAGATTTTTATTTACAGTTCTCTGGAAAAGGGAGGCACTACACGCCACCCTGGGGGACCGCGTGGGGGAGCACCAGAGTTGGTCAGAAGGCAGAGGGAGGCTGGGTGCGGTGGCTCACACCTGTAATCCCAGCACTTTGGGAGGCTGAGGCAGGCAGATCACGAGGTCAGGAGATCAAGACCAGCCTGACCAACGTGGTGAAACCCTCTCTCTACTAAAAATATAGAAATTAGCTGGGCGTGGTGGCATGCTCCTGTAATCCCAACTACTTGGGAGACTGAGGTAGGAGAATAGCTTGAACCTGGGAGGCATAGGTTGCAGTGAGCTGAGATCACGCCACTGCACTCCAGCCTGGGCAACAGAGTGAGACTCCATCTCAAAAAAAAAAAAAAAAAAAAAAAGAAGAAGTAGAAGGCAGAGGGAGCGAGGGGAAAACACGGTTGAGAGCCTTGATTGTGGTTTCTGTAGGAGGGAGGGCAGAGGGAAGCATCTGAGTGTAATCTGGTTTAAGACTGACCAGTTTGAGTAATTTCAGCCTGCTCTGGGTCACAGAGGTTGTCCCTAGTTGTCTGGTACCTGGCCCCAGGAGGAGGAGTGTGAGAGCTCCATAAAGAAGGTAGCTGGGGTGTGGGCTCTCCATTGCTTGGTTTGCTTATGAAGGGCGAGTCATTGACTATCTAGGAATTAGCTAGCCCTGGGAGGGACAGTCTCTCCTTCAGAGTCAGCAAGGCCCCAAGATGTCATAGTATCAAAAATACAGAATAAAGGGCCGGACACAGTGGCTCACACCTGTAATCCCAGCACTTTGGGAGGCTGAGGTGGGCGGATCACCTGAGGTCAGGAGTTCGAGACCAGCCTGGCCAACATGGAGAAACCCCGTCTCTACTGAAAATACAAACATTAGGTGGGCGTGGTGGTGCCTGCCTTTAGTCCCAGCTACTTGGGAGGCTGAGGCAGGAGAATCGCTTGAACCTGGGAGGCAGAAGTTGCAGTGAGCCAAGGTGGCGCCACTGCACTCCAATGTGCAACAGAGCGAGACTGCATCTCAAACACACACACACACACACACACACACACACACACACAGAATAAAAAGACATGATAAATACATGCTAACTGGTTAGTGACTCCTTGCTGACTTCCTTTGAGTGGCCTGAAAACCATTACTTTTTGTCCATACATGGGGACTATTCAATAAACTGAACCTATCAGAAAAACAAAACTTACTCAAGCTCTTACTTACAGCTACATGGAAAAAGAATCTTACAAATCTTGGAAGAACTCTATGCCTGGCTCCCAATCGGTACAATCGTTGACAATGAAATCCTGGTCATCCATGGTGGGATATCAGAGACCACAGACTTGAATTTACTCCACTGTATAGAGAGGAACAAAGTAAGAAGTAATGTTGGTATGAATCTTCTCTCAGGGATTTAGAAGGGAATACGTACCTCTTCATTTATTATTTTGAATTGATTTGTGTTTTAGTGGTTGTAACTCTAAAAAGATTATAGATTTTATTAGAGTATATAAAAGTATACATTTTAAGAAAAATCTATGACTGCATGATAAAGAACTAAGTGGGTAACTTCTATATATGGAAAAAAAATTTAAATTCATGTTGAGGGTGGAAAAATGAGGAAATGTTGGCATTTTATGTAGTTTCTAAAAGTGAAAAATCCTGATTTTTAAAATTAAAATCTCAATTCATTCATTCATTTATATTGTGGTAAAATATACATAACATAAAACTTGCCACTGTAACCATTTTTAAGTGTATAGTTCAGAGGTATTAAGTATATTCGCATTGTTGTGCAACCATCACCATCACTACCATCTATTTATAGAATTTTCCATCATCCCAGACTGAAACTCTGGACCCGTTAAACACGGACTACCCAGTCTCCCCTCTCCCAGCCCCTGGCAACCACCATTCTACCTTCTGTCTATGAATTTCACTACTCTAGGTACTTATATAAGTGAAATCACTTATATAAGTGCAATTTATTTCTGAATTGATATGATTTCCCACATAATACACATCAAATAACTTAGGATAATTTTTTTGGAAATATTTTTTGAAATGTTTAACTAATCATGCTAAATACAAGCAGAGCGGGAACTAGTATGGAATCTCTGAGACAAGTGGCAATGTGGTGCCTGTGAAGATCTCACGCCTCGTGAAGGGTTCCTTGGACGGGTCTTATAGGGTCACTGGAGTTGTCTTCCTCCTGTACCTGGGCCAAGAGGAAGCCCTTAGGCTAGAGGTGTGGGGAGCGCCACGTGGGTTGGGGACCAGTAATAGCAGTGGGGCCAGATGATGCTCTACGGTCCTAGTGGGAAACCTGAACTGTTACCCCTCAGGACTGATCATCAACTTCCAACCAACCTGGGCGGGGGGCGTCTAGAGCTGGAATTTAATCTGATAGAGACAGAAATGTGACCCCAGTGGCACCTTGACTTTTTGGATCCTTTATACCTTTATACACATGTGAATGAGAACGTTGTTGCTAGCATCCCCCCGTCTTTTTAATTAAAGTTTAATAAGTCTGACCTCCAGACCAGATGAGATCCCCTTTTATATACTGTCAAGCCCCTTGTACATATCTTTCATCACAGTTACCAAATTTAAGTAAGAAATTGTGGTACTGTTTGTTTATTATCTTCCTCTGTTTTTCTAGTCCATTGATAACACCCCAGCACCTGGGATGTAGTAAGTATTTAATCTTCATTAACTATCTCCTGAGAGATTTAAGATCAAAGCAGGGCAAACCTAAAACAAAACTGAGGCTGGGCGCGGTGGCTCACGCCTGTAATCCCAGCACTTTGGGAGGCCAAGGCAGGTGGATCATGAGGTCAGGAGATTGAGACCATCCTGGCTAACACAGTGAAACCGTGTCTCTACTAAAAATACAAAAAACTAGCCGGGCGTGGTGGTGGGCACCTGTAGTCCCAGCTACTCGGGAGGCTGAGGCAGGAGAATGGCGTGAACCCAGGAGGTGGAGCTTGCAGTGAGCTGAGATCGCGCCACTGCACTCCAGCCTGGGCGACAAGGCGAGACTCCGTCTCAAAAAAAAAAAAACAACAAAACTGAATAGAAAGTTTTTTACAGCCCTCTCCTGATTCTGTGGTGATTTTACATACCACCCTTTCCCACCTCACCAACTGATGATGGTGCGTCCTGGCTTACATCTGTTGTCCTGTTGTAATTATTAATAGCACCTCCTTTTACTCTTAAAAAAAGAAAAATCCCAGTTGCAGCCAGGCATGGTAGCTCACCCCTGTAATTCTAGCACTTTGGGAGGTTGAGGTGGGCAGATCGCTTGAGACCAGGAGTTTGAGACCAGTCTGGTCAACATAGCAAGACCTCAGCTCTACAAAAAAAGAAAAAAATTAGCCAGGAGTGGTGGTGCACACCTGTGGTCCCAGCTACTTGGGAGGCTGAAGCATGGGGACTGCTTGAACCCAGGAGTTTGAGATTGCAGTGAGCTATGATTGCACCACTGCACTCCAGCCTGCATGACAGAGAGACCTTGTCTCAAAACAAACAAACAACAACAAAAAAAAACGCAACAAAACTCAGTTGCAATAAAATTTAAGCCCACCCTAAGTTTAAGGTGCCTTTCCCATTATATCAGCGAGTAGTCAAGCCAATAAGACATTTTGATCAAGATATAATAGTCAGTATTAACATAATGAGTGGATTAGATTCTAGCCAAGAGCACAAGGGAACATGATGTCTTTGTCAGTCAAATATTGGCAAACACAGGGCATGAATGCCACACTCTATCGCCACCTGCCCTATGACTACAGTACTAATCAGTCATGGCAGCCTCTTCCAATTGATCAGATTGAAAACTTTTGCTTTCCTGAGGTTAGCCTGAGCAGCCAGCTCTATCAAGGGCTTTTTGAGATATTGAGAAGATGCCTCTGGGATGTCCCTCACTAGCTCTGTGGAGATCCCAAGTTGAGAGCCACCTTAACATAGTAAAGACTGTGAGGCTGTAACATTAGACAGACAGAACTAGGTTAACATCCTGCCTCTGCCACTTCCTGGGTGACTGGGCAACATACTGAAGTTTTTAATCCTTGGTTTCCACACCTATAAACTGAAGATAAAAATACCTACCATATTGGATTGTTGGGATGATTAAATGTAATTACCTATATGAAGAAAATGGTGGCCAGGTTTGGTGGCTCACACCTGTAATCCTAGCACTTTGGGAGGCTGAGGCACGTGGATCACTTGAGGGTAGGAATTCAAGACCAGCCTGGCCAGAAAGGTGAAACCCTGTCTTTACTAAAATACAAAAAAATAGCTGGGCATGGTGGTGTACACTTGTAATCCCAGCTACTTGGGAGGCTGAGGCAGGAGGATCACTTGAACCCAGGAGGCTGACGCTGCAGTGAGCCAAGATCAAGCCACTGCACTCCAGCCTGGGTGACAGTAAAACACTATTTCAGAAAAAAAGAAAGTAAGAAAGAAAAAAGAAAAAAGAAAAGGGAAGGGAAGGGAAGAAAATGGCATATACTACTAAACATATAGCTCCTCCAGTTCTCTCTTCTTTTTTCCTGATAATTTGATTCTGAGGTTTGTGTTTCAGTCACCAATACAGATCCTGGGGAGGAGTTTGTGGGCCAGCAATTTTCTCAAGATACCTGAAGTTTCACCTCCTTCAGGGATCACTGTTCTACCTGCTCATAGGACTGGCTTTAAAGATAGAAATTCAACTTGTATATTGTTTGTGTCTTCTACCCTTCCTTGAGTGAGGTTGAACTGGTAACACATACTTGTTGTATTAAATATCGTTGAACTGTAGTGAAAATGATAGGTTCAACCATTTGTAACTCTATCAGATGAGACATAAAAGTAGATTTTTCCAGTCCAATTTTATAACCCCCACTTTCCCATCCCATAGGACCCTCCAACCCTCTGTGGCAGGAGGAACTGTACTTCCTGATTTACACCTGTGGTCATCATGGTATCATTGTTAACAGGGGAGGGGAAGGGCTGGGGAATTTGATGACAACCTCTATTCTAGGTTCATTTAAGGTATTTTGTAAGGTGGGCAGGTTGAGGGGGGTCAATGCAGAGAGACTAAAGAATGAAGGAAGATTCTATAAAACTAAGATTCTGGTTTAGTATTTGTCAAACTCCCCAGCAAGGCATTTGGGGAAAGATGGCTACTAGGACTCCCCAGGGGAAAATGGTGGTGTAGTGCCTTAGGGAGAGCTGGGGCAAAGCATCCCAATCCCAAGTGGCCTCGAAAACTTCAGAGCCACACATACTTAAGAGACCATGTGGCCTCGCTCAGTGAGCTCATCAGAAATGAGTTGTGTACAGCTGGGCACGGTGGCTCATGCCTATAGTCCTAGCACATTGTGAGGCCGAAGTGAGAGGATCACTTGAGACCAGAAGTTCAAGACCAGACCAGCCTGGGTAACATAGCAAGACCCCATCTCTACAAAAAAAAAAAAAAAAAAAAAAAAAAAAAAATGAGTTGTGTGGACCCAAGTCCAGAGGGTCCTCCCAGAATATTCTGCTCTGCCTGTAATGGGGACATTTGCTGGCAGGAGACAGGGCAGGTAGGCTGTGAACTAGCTAGCAATAGCTGAGCTTGAATTTCTACCTAGCTCAATGAGACAGGACCTCAGAATAAGATTCAATTTCATTTTTGAAAAATAAAGGTAAGATTTCCTACACACTCTAGTTTGTAAAAGAAACTAAGTACCTACCACACAGAATTTGTCTATCACTGAACTATGGCCACTAGTATAACAGAAGTATTGTTTAACATTGTTTTGTTTAAAGAGATGGTGCTACAAAGAAACAAGTATAAAATCACAGTCTCTGCTTGTGTAAGGGAACAAGAGGGATTCTAGTAATTGATGCCCTATCAGAAAGACATTTTGTTTTCCAAAGAAACACAGCAGTTTTGTTGCCAGGATTGGAAAACATCGTCAATGGCTGGCAGAGTCAGGCTGAGAACCACAATACATTTAGATTGAAGGGCTTCTGAAGTTTTCAACCTATGTCTCCTTTAAGAACTTTCTTGGACACAGATGTATCTTTTCTCATTTCTTCTGGAAAGCATAACAAAATGCACAGCAGCCACCCTCTTAAGAGGTGTTTCTGAACTCCTGAAAATCCTATGGCTAGATAAAGGCTCAATAGGAGCTAGTTGTCCCTACCTTAGCATCTTCCATTTTCTGTGTGGATGCCACAGAATGTGTTTAACACCTACAGAGAAACTCCAATGAAACACAGAAACTCTTTCTTTATAGGGCAATGTCTGTAATTGAAAAATGTACCAACAGATTGTAACAGACCCACTTTACAGACATCAGTGGATAAGTGACATGTAGGAGGTAGGTGAGATGCAAAAAGTGACCGTGTGTTTTTCACTGGGTTGTGGCACCACGATATAGAAAGAATCCCAACTGGGACTGAAGTCTCTGTATGCAACAGAATAAGCAGAGGGGTGGACTAAAGCATGAATTTGTTTTATAGATGAAATCTGTGCTGATACCACCAATGGAAACAGACAGAGACTATGACACTGACTCGAAGCACAATAAAGTAGGTGTGACTTTTAATGCACATGGAAGAATCAAAACAAATAGATCTTCTATTGAACACTTACCAAAGCATGAATGGGAACAGGTAGGTAATCAGGGTGTTCACTGCAGTGGCAACAATGATACCAGCGTGCATGCTGTCCCTTACAATATATAGATAAAGAGTGACTTTACCTTCACAAGCAGACCACGTGATTCTCTTGGAATTCATCACTATATTTTAAACAGCTTTATTGAGATATAATTCACATACCATGTAACTCACCCATTTAAATTGTATAATTCAATGGTTTTTAGTATATTCACAGTGTTGTACAACTAGCATCACAATCTAATTTTAGAACGTTTTCATCATCTGGAAAAGAAACTACACACCTATTAGCATCACTCCCCACTCCCTTCTGTAGCCACCCTGTGCCACCTAACAGCCTTAGGCAACCCTCAGTCAGCTATCTGTCTTTACAGATTTGCCTATTCTGAACATGTTGTAGAAATGGACACAGAAGTGATGTTTTGTGTCTGGCTTCTTTCACTCAGCACAATGTTCTGGAGGCTCATCCACGTTGTAGCATGTATCAGTACTCAACATCTATTTGTTGCTGAATAATATTCCATTATATGGATATACACATTGTATTTATTCATTCATAAGTTGATGGACATTTGGGTTGTTTCCACTTTTTGACCATTATGAATAATCCTTCTGTGAACCACCACATACAAGTTTTTCTGTGCACATATGTTTTTATTTCTCCTAAGTGTATATCTAGGAGTGGAACTGCTGAGTCATAAGCTAACTCTTAATCAAGTTTAACATTTTAAGAAAGTCCCAAACTGTTTTCCCAAGTGGCTGCACCATTTTACATTTCCACTAGCAATGGATGAAGGTTCCAGTTTCTCCACATCCTCTCTAACACTTGTTATTGTCTATCATTTGGATTATAGCCATCCCAGAGGGCATGAGATGGAATCCCAGAGGGCATGAGATGGAATCTCATTATGGTTTTGATTTGCATTTCCCTAATGACTAATGATGTCAAGCATCTTTTCATGTGTTTATTGGATATTTGTAGATCTTCTTTGGAGAAGTGTCTATTCAGATCCTTTGCCTATCTTAAAAATTGAGTTATTTATCTTTTTATTATTGCATTGTAAGAGGTTTTTCAAATATATTCTACATACAAATCCTTTATCAGGGATATTATTTGCAAATACCCTCTCCCATTCTGTGGGTTGTCTTTTCCCCTTTCTTGATGGTGTCCTTTGCAGTACAGCAGTTTTTAATTTTGATGATGCCCAGTGAAAATGATATATTTTTTCTCTTTGGTTGCTCGTGTTTTTGATGTTGTATCTAAGCTACTGCCTAACCCAAAGTCATAAAGATCTATTACTTTGTTTTCTTCTAAGAATTTTATACATTTAGCTCTTAAATTTAGGTGTCTGATCCATTTTGAGTTAATTTTTGTATGTGGCGGGAGTTGAGATTCCAAATTCTTTCTGTGTTATGTGGATATTTAGTTATCCCAGCACCATTTCTTTTTTTTTTTTTTTTTGAGACAAAGTCTCGCTCTGTCACCCAAGCTGGAGTGCAGTGGTGCGATCTCAGCTCACTGCAACCTTTGCCTCCCAAGTAGTAGCTTGGATTACAGGCATGCGTTACCACACCTGGCTAATTTTTGTATTTTTAGTAGAGATGAGGGTTGACCATGTTGGCCAGGCTGGTCTCGAACTCCTGACCTTAGGTGATCTGCCCACCTTGGCCTCCCAAACTGCTGGGATTACAGGCGTGAGCCACTGTGCCCGGCCACCAGCACCATTTCTTAAAAATACTATACTTTCCTTATTAATTTTTCTTGACATGCTTATCAAAAAATCAGTTGACCATAATAAAATGATTTATTTCTAGACTCTTAATTATAGTTCACAATTCTATGTTTATCCTTAAGTCAATACTGTACAGTTTTGATTACTGTAGCTTTGTGGGAAGTTTTAAAATTGGAAAGTGTGAGTTCTCCAACTTTGTTCTTCTTTTTCCAGATTGTTTTGGCTATTCTGGGTCCCTTAAATTTCCATATGAATTTTAGGATTAGTTTGTCAATATCTACCAAAAAGCAGCTGGAATATTGGTAGGGTTGCCTTGAATCCATAGGTCAATTTGGGTACTATGGCTGTCTTGAGATGTCTTTCCATTTATTTAGATCTTTAATTTCAACAATGTATACACATACACACGTCTTGCTCTTGTTTTGTTAAATTTACTCCTAGGTGTTTTTGATGCTATTGTAAATAGAATTGTTTTCTTAATTACATTTTGGATTGTTCATTGCTAGTGTATAGAAATACAACTGACTTTTATATACTGACATTGTGTTGTGAACTTTGATAAACGTATTAGTTCTAATGGTTTTTAGTGGATTTTTTGAGATTTTCCACATACAAGATTATGTTATCTGTGAATAATTTTACTTCTTCCTTTCCAGTCTGTCTGCCTTTTCTTTTCCTTTTTTTTCTTTTTGCTTAATTGCCTTGTCTAGAACCTCCAGTACACTGTTGAATAAAAGTGAAGAGAGTAGATATATTTGTCTTGTTCATGATACTGGGGAAAGCATTCAATCTTTCATCAAGTATGATATTAGCTGTGTATTTGTTTGTAGTGGCCTTTTATTACATTGAGGAAGTTTCTTTCTATGCTTAGTTTATTGAGAGTTTTTATTGTGAAAGAGTGTTGGATTTTGTCAAGTGCTTTTTCTGAATACATTAAAATGATGTGCTCTTTCCCTTTATTCTATTAATATGGTATATTATATTAATTGATTTCAGAGATGTTAAACCAAACTGACATTCCTGGGATAAATCCCACTTAGTCATGATGTATAATCCACCTTCTATGTTGCTGGCTTCCATTTGGTAGTATTTTTTGAGGATTTTTGCATTTATATTCATAAGAGCTATTGGTCTATGGTTTTCTTTTCTTGTGATATCTTTGTCTGGTTTTGGTATAAGTTTGGCCTCATAAGAGGAATTAGAAAGTATTGTCTCCTCTTCTATGTTTTAGAAGAGTCTGTGAAGGATTGATTTTAATTCTTCAAATGTTTGATAGAATCCATCAGTGAAGCCATCTGGGCCTGGGCTTTTCTTTGTAGGAAGTTTTAAAATTACTAATTTCAATGTTTTTCCTTGCTATAGTTGTATTCAAATGTTTTGTTTCTTCTTGAGTAGTTTGTGTTTTGGTAGTTGTGTCTTTCTTGGAATTTGTTTCATTTCCTGAAACAAATTCATTTCATGAAATTCATTTCATCTACTTTATCTAATTTGTTGACCTAAAGTTGTTTGTAGTACTCCTTTATAATTTTTTTTCTCTTGCAAGTTTGGTAGTAATATTCCCTCTTTCATTCCTGATATTAGTAATTTGAGTTTCCTCTGTTTTTTCTTGGTTTCTCAGTCTCACTAAGGTTTGTCAATGTTTATTGATCTTTTTGAAGAACCAACTTTTAGTTTTATTGATTTTTCTCTATTGTTGTCTATTATCTATTTCATTTATTTCTGCACTAATTATTAACAGTGGAGGGTGTCCAGGTTCTTGGCGTCTTGAACAATGAATTGGACAAAACACACAAACAAGGCAAGGAGGGAATGGAGGGTTTTATTGAAATGAAAGTACACTCCACAGTGTGGGAGTGGCCTGAGCATAGGGGCTGAAAGGCCCTGTTATAGAATTTTTGGGAGTTTCAATACCCCCTAGAGGATTCCATTGGTTACTTGGAGTACACCCTATGTAAATGAAGAGTTTGAAGTAAAGTTACAGAGTCATTTACAGCATAAACCCTATGGAAAGGATATTTCCTGTCATAGCTGAAGTGTGAATTGGCCTTATGTTCCCTGCCTCCAGACCCTATTTTCCTGCCTCATAATCTTTATCATTTCCTTCCTTCTGCTTGTTTTAGGTTTAGTTTGCTCTTCTTTTTTTAGTTTCCTTAGAAGGTAATATCATTGATTTGAGATCCTTTTTATTTTTTAATAAAGATACAAATCTTCCTTTAAGTACTGCTTTAGCTCCATCCCTTAAGTTTGCTATGTTATTAAACAATTGCTACTGACTTAAAAAAAATAGTTTTGCTATGTTGTGCTTTTGTTTTCAATAGTATTGTCTAAATATCCTTGTGATTAACTTATCTGTTATTTGGTAATGTGTTGTTTAAGTTCTACATATTTATGAATTCCCCATATTTCTTTCGTTTATTGATTTAAAATTTAATTTGATTGTGGTCAGAGAACACATGCTTTGCCTGATTTAAATTCCTTTAAAACTTTTTTTCTTTTTTTGGTAAATCCTTTTAAAATTTGTTGAGGCTTTTTTTGTGGCCTAGCATATGGTTTATCCTGGAGAATGCTTCATGTGCACTTTAGAAGACTATATATTTCACTCTTATTGGGTGGAGTGTTTTATATATGTCTCTGAACATATTTATAATAGTTGCTTTGAAATCTTTGTCTGCTAAGTCAACGTCTAGTCCCTTCAAAAGCAGTTTTTATTGCCCGCTTCCCCACTCTGCCCCCTCACCCCCCACCCCCTACCCCTGCCCCGCCCGTGTATGAGTCATACTTTTTTCTTCGCATGTGTGTAATCTTACATTGTAGTAACCCTAGGTAGTTATTCCCATGCCCCTCTGGGGCTTGTTGTTATTTGCTTTTTTGTTTGTTTGTTGAGTGACTTGTCTGGACTAGTTTAGTGAAGTCTATTCCCCTTCAGTGTGCAGCCTCTGGTGTCACTCTTCACAGAGTGCTGCCTTGGGCGTGCATACAGTTTCTCCGACCACCCGGACTACTGTGGTTTTAATTGGGCTCTCTTTGTCTCTTTCCCTGATCTCTCCTTTAAGCTTCGTACCCATCTGCCTCTATTTGAAGCAGTCCCAGCTGTTAGCCTTCACTAATTGCTAGCTGATTGCTCTATTGTTTTTAACAATGCCCTGGCCCACAGAGTGTTCTACAGTCTGATCCGATTAAAGCTGGACCCCTTCGCAGGGGCAGGGCTTTAACCATGTTTGAGGCTTACTCCGACCTCCACAAAGGCTCCTTTCTCATCTG